CTATTTGATCCAGCCTAATGGACTGATCTACTGGTTTGTGCAAACACATCCTGCTTTGGGCAGCGTGGTCAACAGCACCCCACCGATCATGACCTGTCACTTCCACTCAGCCTCAGCTCCACCCGGAGCTTCTGGGAAGGAATCCAATTACAGGCTCAAGGGTTTTCTTCCCCTTCCATATGGTCTCCATAACAGGCCAGCTTTATCTCATTTTAACCCCTTTCCCGTCAGGTGAGCTCACAAGCTGCTCAGCTCGCCAGCTCCTATCGGCCATGGGGACTCTTCCTTTGAGGAGGCGGGGGCGCTAAGGAATCCTGCGACAGTCCCCAATTTGCTCTTCTCCTCCAGGTCAGGGCATTAGTTAAAAACCTAACCAGAGGTACAAGCACTGGCTTCTGGATTTTAAGGGTAGACTTTTGCCCTGAAATAATTCCTCTCTTAGGTACACACATCACTTGCAGTGAGTGGCAATATTCCTAGTGAGGCATGCCTAGATTAGCAGTCCGAGGCCACTACCAGGGCTGCCAAAATACAATAGGTTAGTCTTGCACGAGAAGGTAACAGAGTGATAGAAATGTAGCCGTGTTAGTCTGGTGTAGCTGAACCAAATTCAGGACTATGTAGCACTTTAAAGACTAACAAGATGGTTTATTAGGCGATGAGCTTTCGTGGGCCATCACTATTTGATCTGAGGAAGTGGGTCTGGCCCACGAAAGCTCATCACCTAATAAACCATCTTGTTAGTCTTTAAAGTGCTACATAGTCCTGTAGTCTTTAAAGTGCTGCATAATCCTGTATTTTGTTTCAGCTATTGTAACAGACTGATTCCATTGGGGGAGGGAAGCTGGGAGTTACAGGCATTAACTCCCAGGCCTCTTGGGTCCCCATCTTGTGCCTTAATCACCATCTATCCCACAGCAGTACCCGATTCTGCAGAAAGAGAACTGGGATTTGCAGGGCTGTCAACCCAGTGATGTAAGTCATGTGGCATGTAAATGCTGTTCCCAGTCCAGCACATTTCACAGCCTTTGTATGAAGAGTTTCCCATTTATTATTTTCACGTGCATTATGTTAGGACCCAGAGACTGCCAAGCATACTCAGGGCCCCTTGGAGCTGAATGCTATACAAACACCGAGGAAGAGTCCCTGCCCCAAAGAGCATACTGCAGGGTGTGCATGGGGTGTGACTGCCTGAAGGAAACCCTTCCTTTTACAGAAAGCAAACAGCAGTGGAACTGCACTGGCGAAAAGGGAGCAATTAACTCTCTGCCCCCTTTAAATCATGGCCTAATTTCTCCATTTACTGGCAATTTACCAGTTCATTAACTCACGCCAATCTCCCTGAGAGGTCTCATATCAGGTGTCCTGGCCTAACAGATACCAGCTTAAAGTTCTCACTTTCTGTTTTCGTTACTGCGCATAGAAAGTTGAAGGAATCTGAGATCAGATACCAGCCGTCCGCCCCGTATCATTTTCCTCCCCCGAGTTGACTTGAGGCCTTTAGATACCACTTTGCTGCTGACCTAGCGAGAACTCTAAATCCATGTCAACTGAGGACCACAGTTTGCCATAGAGAGCTTGGTCTTTGCTCCACCTACAAGATAACCTTATGCTGCAAGGGGAGAACACTGAACTCATGAAAAGAATGAGGATGCTGGAAAGAAATGTGCCAGCCTCATCCCTGGAGCCTAAATAGAAATCCATGGGGATACTCTGAATTACATCCGCTGAGTGTATGATCCCTAGACTTTATCTCTGGGTTCCAACAAGCACAGAGCCTCCAATTCACCAACACCCCGACACTGTACATGTAACATTGGTTACAATTTTCAAAAACACCTAGTAGTTTAGGGGCATAAGAGCTACTGAAAGCCTGTAAGGGAGTGTCTAAAATACATGGCTCCGTCGATGGAGCCATGTAGATTAGGATGATCAGCAGAGGGAAATGAAGCCGCAATTTAAATAATCGCGGTTTCATTTATATTTAAATGGCTGCCGCGCTGAGCTGACAAAGGTGTAACGGGGAGGTCGATAAAGGGCTTTCATGTCAGCGCAGGATCATCCAGACTAGTGCGCCGAGCTGACAAAATACCGGGGAGGTCAACAAACAGCTATTCGTCAGAGCGGGGCAGCCATTTAAATTTAAATGAAGCTGCAATTATTTAAATCGCGGCTTCATTTCCCTTTGCCGAACAAACAAATCTACATGGCTCTGTCGACGGAGCCATGTAGTCTAGACGTACTTTGGGTTCCAGCAAGCACAGAGCCTCCAATTCACCAACACCCCAGCACTGTACATGTAACATTGGTTACAATTTTCAAAAACACCTAGTAGTTTAGGGGCATAAGAGCTACTGAAAGCCTGTAAGGGTGCATTTGAAAATTCTGTTCTGTGTCTTTAAGTTTTATAACTTCATCCTGGTGCGTGGGCTTCCATTGGAATATTTGATCTCAATGCCCAACAATTTTGGTAAAGATCAAATCCAGAGAGAGGAGCTAGTTATTACTGTTTGCGGTATTTTGTGCTCGATCCCATCTCGGTACCCCTGGATTCATCCATCCTTCACCTCCATGAAAATTTGGAGATGAATTCAGGCCTGAACATTGTGCCCGGAGCCCAGTTTTACTGAAAAATCAAAAAGCTTTTTCTATGGCATACTATTAGATCAGGTAACATTCATGCACATGTGAGGATGCACACATGCTGAGTTACTACCCTAGTCTTTTGCCTCATGAGACCTGAGTTAAAACTGAATACATTCCTCTTGACTTTTAGCCTCCAAAATTGTACATAAGTCTAGGGATTTCTAGCTAGTCCTTCAGGTATAGTAGTTTGTGTGTGTGAATCTCATTGGCGTCAATACCATTTTCTACCCAAACTCCAGCTGAACCTTCTTAGAAGTCCAGAAACATCTGGTTTTGTTCCTCCTCCTTCTCCCCCAATTATTCAGCATAGCTCTTCTTGTGCACATATGGCCGTAAGGTGGAAATTCATACTCCCATGAGATTCCCAGTCCCATTTTCAGAGGCTGCTTGACACTATCTGCTGCCCTAGGCAAAACTTAAGTGTTAGCCCCACACCTCATAGGCCCAGATTTAGCCCAGCTGCCTCTCCCTAATTTCCTGGGGTGGCCAGGGCAGATCTGCATGGTATTATAACCTCACGTGCCAGATTGTAACACCATTCACTCTTATGGTTCTAAGGGATGGTAGAAAGGAGGACAGCAAAATAGAGACAGTGGATTTCAGGAAGGCAGATTTTAGTCAACTCAGAGAGCTGGTAGTTAAGGTCCCACGGGAAGCAAGACTGAGGGGAAAAAACAACTGAAGCAAGTTGGCAGTTTTAAAAGGGACACTAATAAGGCCCTAAAAGCTATTCTGCTGAGTAGGAAAGATAGAAAGTATGGCAGGAGACTACCTTGGATCAACCAGAAAATCTTACATGATCTAAAAACCAAAAAGGAGACATATAAAAAGTGGAAACTAGGTCAAATTACAAAGGATGATTATAAGCAAACAACACAGATATGCAGGGGCAAGATTAGAAAGGCAAAGGCACAAAAGGAGATAAATCTAGCTAGAGGCATAAAGGGTAACAAGAAGATGTTCTACAAGAATATTAGGAGCAAGAGGAAGACCAAGGACAAGGTAGGCCCATTGCTCAGTGAGGAGGGAGAAACAGTAACAGGAAACTTGGAAATGGCAGAGGTGCTTAATGACTTCTTGGTTTCAGTTTTCATCAAGAAGATGGATGGTGATGGGATGCCTAACACAGTGAATGCTAGTGGAAATGGTTTTACATTTAGAAGTTAAAATAAAAGTACAAGTTAAACATACTTAGACAAGTTGGATGTCTGCAAGTCACCAGGGACTGATGAAATGCATCTTTGAATACTCAAGGAGGAGGTTTCTGAGCCTTTAGCTATCATCTTTGAAAAGTCATGGAAGTCAGGAGAGATACCAGAAGACTGGAAAATGAAAAATCTAGTGCCTATCTATAAAATGGTAAATAAGAACAACCAGGAAACTACAGACCAGTCAGTTTAACTTCTGTGCCAGGGAAGATAATGGAGCAAGAAATTAAAGAATCCATCTGCAAACATCTGTAAGATAATAAGGTGATAAGTAATAGCCAACATGGATTGTAAAGAACAAATCATGTCAAACCAATCTGATAGCTTTCTTTGACAGGATATCAAGCCTTGTGGATATGGGGGAAGCGGTGGACGTGGTATAGCTAGACTTTAGTAAGGCATGTGACATGTCTCGCATGACCTTCTTATCAATAACGTAGGGAAATACAATCTAGAGGGGGCTACTATAAGGTGGGTCCTTAACTCACTGGATAACCGTTCTCAGAGAGTAGTTATTAATGGTCCACAATTATGCTGAAAGGGCATAACCAGTGGGGTTCTGCAGGGGTCTGTTTAGGGACTGGTTCTGTTCAATATTTTCATCAATGATTTTGATGACGGCATAGAGAGTACGCTTATAAAGTTTGCAGATGCTACCAAACTGGGAGGGGTTGCAAGTGCTTTGGAAGAAAGGGTCATAATTCAAAATGATCTGGACAAACTGGAGAAATGGTCTGAAGTAAATAGGATGAAGTTTAATAAGGACAAATGCAAAGTGCTCCACTAAGGAAGGAACAGGTTAGACATTCATCTATCAGGGATGATGTAGATGGTGCTTGGTCCTGCCATAAGGACAGGGGACTGGACTTGATCACCTCTCAAGGTCCCTTCTAGTTCTAGTGTTCTATGATGAAGGGCAGCTGGGCCAACTCAGCCACTCTAGAATCTGTTGCCTTTTGCAGCTCCCTAGATCACCGATAGGCAGGGGCCACTCTGCAAATAAAAGTTCAAAGAAACACACAAACTTTTGGATGCTCAGGTCAACGGGGCCTGAATTCTGAACCTTCTGAAATCGGCTCATTGTCAGGGAATCCGATTTCGGTATATTTAAAAACTCCTCCGACTCTCTGGAGAGACATAAAATACCTTCAGGGAAAAGCATCTTCAAGGTGTGATCGCAAGGGAGCTCTCTGGACCGCAGGAGTGTCTGTGTTCCACCAGCGAGGAGCCTGAGGAGAGTCTAAGGAGGAGAAAGGAATCAGGCTGGATCATTCTGTGACTCAGTGCCTCACGGTCACGCCTCACTCGCGTACCAAGATGACATCAGCCCCTTTCCAAGAAGGTAGCCTTCCTCTCTGGAACCCTTACCCCAGGACACCCCTCGCTTCAATGACCTGGATATTCTAGCCATGTCCTACTTCTCTGTCCTTTCAGTCCAAAGCTGGAGGATCAGAGCCTGCTGGCGATAAAGATATCATTCTTCCCACCCCTTGGCCTTCCGTTCCTGTCCTGCAGCCCCCTCTAAAACCTCCCTCCGCCCCTGCCCCATGCGCACACAGCTTTGGGGACAATCTAGTTTCTCCCGGGAGATGACGCTGACTTTTTCCATCCACTTCATCTCTGAGGAGGGTGGGTGGGGAGGCAGGACCAAAGCTTACAGTATTAACAGATCAGGGTCATGTACGCCACCATATGTCACAGATTAGCGGGAGAGCTCTGCTAAGAAGCCTTAGGCTGTTCTCCCATGGTGGTGGCAGCGTCCCGCTTCCTGAACTAAAAGGCGGGGGGAAGCTCGGACAAGGAAGGGAGCCTATGAGTTTGGAGCTGGTTCTGACCCAGTTCGGGTGGATTTCACGGAGTGACATAACCTCCCCTTGACCCAAATTGAGCACTGAGGAGACAATGCGAAAGCTTCCCTTCCTGCCCACATTCTTTCTCCCTCCATCTCCAGACCCTCTCTTCCCCTCAGCTGCCATGTACTCCTTGCCAACCATGCCCCAGTCTCTCCAGCTGCTGCTCCATGTGCTGTCCCTTCTCCCCGGCTGGGTGCAAGTCTGAATAGCATCCAAGCAAGTAGCGGTGCTACTTCCACGCACTGGAGACAACCTACAGCTGGTGGGCTTTTAGCTGCAGGTACAAACATAGTATTTTCCCCTTCCTAGCAGGAATCAGGCTGTCATTTACTCTCTTCTTGCACAGCAGCTAGCACAACGGAGCCCTGACATGGCTGAGGCCTCTTGGCCGTGCTGCAGCGTAACTGTTAAACAACAAGAATGGTCCCCTGAGGCTCTGCCCAAGTCTACTACATGAGCCCTTGGTCCGCTGTGGAGTTACAGGGCTTTTCACCATCTCAAGGCTGAAATAATATGACCGCTGGTCCTTGTCACTGAGTTTCCACTGGCTGCCATGCTGCACAAGGAAGTGCTAAGCCAAGACCAGCACGATCTAGTGACCCTGCTTGTGCTGACAATGGGGTTTGAACCTGGCCCTTCAGCTCTAAAAGCACAAGCCACTACCACTAAAAGGGCAACCCTTTTAGCAAGCAGCTGTAGTAGGTGCTGCCTCTATGGTTTACAGACTACGGTGGGACTCGGACTCACCACTCCTTCCTCAGTCGGGGTGACACACATAGTAGTTCATCCTTCATGCGCACATAGAAAACAGCCCAAGAAAAATAATCACACAAATCATTAGATAGTTGGGTTCCTGTGAAACCTGGTGGCTCATTCCCCAGGCTTAAATATATGGGGATGAGCAAGGCTGCTATCCTGCTTAAATATATGGGGATGAGCAAGGCTGCTAGGGATATCCTCTAGTAGCCAAATGGGTGAGGTATCAGCCTCTGGAGCTTACAGTTGCGGGTACAGCCCTAGGTCAGCTGAAGGAAGGGCAGTGTGATGGGGTGGGTTGTGTGGCCCAGCCAGGCAGGGGAGACTGGAACCCACCACACCTGAGTTCTGGAGGTTGATGCCTTACTGTGAAGGGCTACCTGCCTTCAGCTAGCCCAGGCTGGTGTGTGTGGGGGTGTCTAGAACCCGGACTGTGACAAAGTGGGGCTTGTATTCACTTTACGTTATGATGTCGACATAACAGACAGAAACGCCAGCTTGCTGCTCAATTAAATACTGACCCATTGTAGCTGTGGTTTCTGGAATGAGCCAAAGAAGCCAGGAAGGTCTCCACATTGGGAGGAACCAGTGAGAGGCGCCATTGGGAAACATGGTGCTCTTCACTGCGCCTCCAGGGGAAAAATGTGGGTGACCACAAGCCACCATGGGAGTTTTCACCATTGACTTCCAGCAGGCAGCAAGATGGGGCTACTCGGGTGTGTCAGAGACAACAGCAGTCACCTGCTGCCTGTACAGTGGTTTGCAACCCATGGTCTCTGGACCGCTGGAATCCACAGACTGTCTAAGATAGCACCAGGGAGCTACATCTCCATTCCAAATATTTAGGGACCTCCTAATGAAAACAGGTTGAAGGCCACTGGCCCATACCTATTTAAATACATTGTTCTGCAGGGTTACAGTGTGACAAAACTAGGAGTCAGGCTTCTGGGTTCAATTTCTGCCTGTGGGAGGATGTGTGATCTGCTGGGGAGTGGGCGTGAGAGTCAGGACTTGGGGGTTTCTTTCCTCGGCGCCAATAACACCTCATTGTGATAACTCGATGCACCCTGATTTGCTCATCTGTACAAGGGGAGCAGTGATACTTACCTGACTCCAGAACCCTCTCCTGTTCCTGACCTGGGAAGAGATGCTCCTTCTACCAGTGACAAACCAGAAATATAGTTATCAACCCCCAGCCCAGTTTGGAAATGCTTAGAGATTTAGCCAGGTAGTTCTGATCCGGAGCCAAAAGTCTGTCAAACGGGAGAAGGATCAGAGCTGGAGTTCTGGTTCAGATCCCTCCGACAGGGAATCCAAAGATTGGATTCTGAGCTGAATATGCCCAGGAGTTCTGCGTCATGAGCTCTCCAGCAGGCACTGGACTGTACTACACTCTGGTTACTGTTCTTTCAGGAGCCTGAGGGGAATGAGCCAACAGAGCTGGCCCCATCAGATCTCTTTTTTTTTTAAAAAAAAAAGCTCATCCCAGAGGCAGGGCAGGAAGGGGTCAGGGTTATAAATTCAGCCCACCATGCAAAGTGGCTGGAGGCGAGGCTTCCCAGGCGCTATATTCTTCCAAAGCACAAGGCTTCTCCACATGCAGGATCACAGTCCACAAACCTAAATGCGACAAAGATGCCGCATGACCCACCTCCCAGCTCCGCTGCAGCACGGGCTGCGAGAAAGGATTGCATGGGAGAGCCCAGCAGAACCATCCAAAACTCAGACGTAGACAGTTCCATTCGGCGGCTTGGCACTGCGACAGCATTTGGCTTACGAAGTCATTGAGTTGAGACGTCAGCCTAGAAATCCCAGCACATATTTAGACTATAAAGTCTTTGGGGGCAGGGACAGTCTTTTGGTTTGGTTTGCACTTAGCACAACAGATCCTGGGCCATAACTAGCACAACTAGGTGCTAACACAATGCCCACGGTAAGTAACAATGATAATAAAGGGCAGGAGGTTGGCAGGAACTGGCCGTGGGCAGGCATGGCTGGTCAAGTCCTGCCCAAGAAGGCTGGTGGGTTCCCAGCATGTGGACATGTCCCAAGCTGATGTATATTTAATGTTGCAATGTTGCAAGCCATTCCAATGGGACTGCATTCAGTGCTGGACTGAGCCATACTTGCGTCCTGGGCAGCGGGCGCGCGAGACATGGATGGTCCCACCCCTGGGTGCCAGCCTATGGGGGGCGCCTGATTGAAGTGGTCAGGGGCTCCGCGCACCCTATGTGTGGCCCCGTCCCCGGGCGCATGGCGCCCCTTACCACTTCAATCAAGCACCCCCCCATAGGCTGGCGCCCCGGGCAGCTGCCCAGCTAGCCCTCCCCTTTAATCCAGCCCTGACTGCGTTCGGACGCGGGTCCAGGTTTGCCAAGCTCTGCAGCTACCATCCAAAATCCCTATCAGCTGTCCCAATTACGAGGCTAGAACCTGCAGTGAGAGGTGTGGTTCTGCTCAGAAACCAGTTCATTATTGCTGCACAACTGCCCAGTTTGAGTATCTGGATGTTCATAGAACCCAACGATTTCATAAATTTTAGCATCACCAATTTTTAACCTGGCCATAGGAAAGGCGAGGGTCATTGTTTCTGAAGAAGTTTTAGCCAGCCAATCAGGGAGCAGAACACCTCCCCTCCCCCGTGAATCAAGACTACATCTAGATTGCAAGCCTCTTTCGAAAAAGAGTGTCTAGACAACAAGAAGATTTTTCGAAAAAAGCGGCTTGCTTTTTCAAGAGAGAGTCTGGATGCTCTCTTTGGAAAAAGCCCTGTTTTCATGGAATAGCACCTTTCTTCGAAAGATGATTTTCAAAAAAAGGCATTATTCCTCATAGAATGAAGTTTATCACCGCCGACAAAACCGCTGCATTCTTTCGATTTACTGTTGACAGAACGTGGCGGTAGTCTAGACGCAGGTAAAAAATTTTCGAAAAAAGGCTACTTTTTTCGAACCCCCCCCCCCCGGTAGTCTAGATGCACCCCATGCGACCAAGCACACGCAGCAAATATCAAATACAGAACAGTCCAAACAAGCAGATTACAAACAACCCAGAGGTCAAAAACTGCATTTCCAAAATATTTGCTGAAGATCGGAAACTAACAAATACATTTGCAGAAGCTGGGACCAGGCTAGAAACAGAAGCCAGGAGTCCTGTGGGAAACTGTATAGATAGGAGACTGAGGGATAATGAGACTAAGCGACTTGGCCAAGGCCACACAGGGTGTCTGTGGCAGAGCTGGGAATTTTATCTAGGTCTTCCAAGTCCAAAGTCAGTACAATAACCACTGACCCTTCTTCCTGTCAAATAATTCTTCCCTAATAAGCTACTGGGCAGTCACAAGGGAAGTCATTTGTGTCGAATTCAAGTGGGTGCAGATATCCCTCTCCAATACTCCTTTCTCTGTTATATTGTTCTACCCACCTGTCCTTCTTTCATGGTTACCACCTGCCAACTAACTACCCTGCTCCTGCCTCACCTCACTTCCAAATAAACCAAATTCCTTCAAAGATATTAAACACTTAATAGAAATTAATACGCCTTAATGCAGGTTTTGGGGCCAACTAGCCGCTTAAAAGGTGCTTAAACCATCAACCCCTCTCAATCCCGTTGCCCTTGTCATACAAACTTAGCCTTAGACCCTAATCCTCCCCTCCCACCCTCACTTGCTCCTCCACACCCGCAGAAGTGGGCGAAGGGTATAAAAACCCCCGATGGATCCTGGCGCTGCCAGCCCTGGGATGTAGATGAGGGACCACACACCAGCTCTGCATTCAATTCAGGATTTTTGTTTGGGGGGGTGGGGGGGAATTTCAATTTTTTTTTTAAATCAGGTTGAGAATAAAATTAATTTGTTTTTAAAAAAAAGAAAATTAAATAATAAAGAGCAGCTGCTAAAATAACAGAAGGATGAACGGGACAGAAGGAATCAATTTTTATGTGCCGCTCTCCAACAAAACAGGGCTGGTGCGGAGTCCCTTTGAGTACCCACAGTATTACCTAGCTGAACCCTGGAAGTACCGAATCGTGTGCTGCTACATCTTCTTCCTCATCTTCACCGGGCTCCCCATCAACCTCCTGACGCTCCTTGTCACTTTTAAGCATAAGAAGCTGCGGCAGCCGCTCAACTACATCCTGGTCAACCTGGCGGTGGCTGATCTCTTTATGGCTTGCTTTGGCTTCACCGTCACCTTCTACACGGCCTGGAACGGCTACTTTATCTTCGGGCCCACGGGCTGTGCTGTGGAAGGCTTCTTTGCCACGCTGGGAGGTAAGAGCTCGGGGAGGAGGGTAGCGGAGGGCGTGCAGGGAAGGGGGAATGATGCTGGCATTTGCCTGGCTAAAGGAGGAGAAGATCTGAGTTTGCCCCGGTTTTATTTCCAGCTGGAAGCATGTCATCTTGCATTCAATGTGAATGTCTGAGCTTCTTCCCATGAAACATTCCTGGCTGCACCAGTGGGCTCTCTCAGAGTATGTCCACATGGCAGCACATGTAGACAAATCCCAACAGAAGCTAGCTTTAATCTAGCTAGCTTGGCTACCGGAATAGCGAAGCCAATGCAGGGCACCTTTCATCACAGGCTAGGCCCGCAAGCCATTACCTGGGATTCTGGGTTGGTTTGTACAGCCCCGTGCTGCTGCGGCATCACTGTTCTGGTGCCTGAGCTAGCTAGATTAAAGCTCCTTTGAGTATGTCAATGTGTGCTCCAATCACAGCCAAAGTTCTCTCTAATTTTTTCCATTCATGTGCAGAATAATTTTATGTGCACCAAGGCACATGCTGATGTGCACCTCCAGTAGAAACACATGCTGCCGGCTCTGGATGGTTGTGGGCACTCTGCTTTGCTAATTAGCAGCATTTGAATCTCTTGGGGGTGGCCACCCAAGCACACAGCTTATAGGGAACACTGATCACAGCCCCTAAATTCGGTGTAGATATGCTCCTTGTGGCATCAGCCCACTACGGTGCTCCCTTAAGGGTAAGGTTGCCTTGCAATGCAAAGGTACCATGTAGTGGAATGAAATGGCCATGCTACCTCCTCACACATCAGTGCGGCACACGGACATGCGATAAGCCAAGCCCAAAATAGATTGGGGGCATTTAAAAATGATCACGCAAGCCTCCAATGCCTGCAACCATCCCAGGCATTTCAGAAAGGGCGGTGATAAGAAATCAGCCCAAACTGCACAGTACAGCTAAGGATCCAGGAACCAAAGTTCAGGGATGTTTGAACTGGAAAGGGCTGGGTTTGAGCCCATCGCGAGGGTCCACACAACGGCAAGAACAGCTTGAGATTAACCTGGAAACTGGTCCCTGAACTAGCCTCCAGCACTGTTCAGAATGAGCCCTGCTGAATATCGTGCAGACGACGGGGGTGACCCAGGAGGTCACTTTCAACACTCACTGGTATCCAGCCCGACTGAAAACGACTCTTCCTTCCACGGTCTGACCTGGAGGCATCTGGCTTAGCGCTGCTAGGAACACACACGTACAGAACCGAGTCCCTGAAGGCGGCTGCACAAGTTTGAATACGGCCCCTTCACATGATGGCTTTTCCCTCCTGGGCTATGCTGATCACACCACATCCAGCCAGACCTTAGTACTGTAGGGGAGTCCGCAGCCTGGGTCAAATGGGCAGGTGGGCCAGGAGACAGGCAGCATCCCAACCAACATTAACTGTTCGCAGCCTCAGCAGAAGGGACAAGGACTAAAAGGGTCCAAAGGGTTGACCTGCCCTTAGAGCGGTGCTTTTGGAATGGGAAACTTCCCCCATGCTGTTGGAGAAAGAGAAGATATCCATCCGCAGGCCTGTCCCGAGGTACCAAAACATAAACGTGTTTGCTACCACTGTAAGAGCTCTTGGAGCAAAACTGTCCCTAAGTCGCCGAGGAAGATGCTCTAAGCTTTATGTAAAGCCAGTGGTCTAAGGAATGCATCTTACAGCAGTATTGCTGGAAGGGCAGGTTTTTATGTCAGAGAAGGACCAGGTCAGTATTTGGGAGAAGGGACATCCAATCGGTATCAGTGAAGGATAGAACAATCCCATCTGTATTTGGGAAGGGAAAGGAGTCCCCCTGGGTTGGAGGAGTTTGGTGCTTCTGAAAGAGGAGGAAAGGGCTAAGTCTGGCAGCAGAAGGAGGGTTTATTGTTGATTACAGTTGAAGATGTGGTTGCTCTCAATAAGGGAAGAGAGGATATGGTCGGTATCAAGGACTGGAAACAGGGCTCAGTCCCTATTTCTGAGCGGAGCCACGCAAACGGCACAGAATTTTTTCAGTGGCCATTCTGAGCTTTCAAACCCAGCTGATCTCAGCACGCGTGTGGGTTTCACTCCTGTGGGCAGGATGGCGATCGACTCTCCAGGGCACCACTGCTGGCAAAAAAAAAAAGTCCATTTCCAAGCTGCATGAAGTGATTGGACATCTCTGTGCTCCTCCAGCCAGCCCACAGCGATGAGACCCGGTGACAAAACTGAACGGAACGCTGCCCAGAGAGTTGATTCTTGCAGGGAACTGTTTGCAATCAGGCTTTAAAATAAGACAACACAATTTAAAAGGTCCCTGGG